TTGGGTGGGAGAGACAGCTCAGCGTGCCAGAGCATGTGCTTTGTGTGAAGGAGACCCGGCTCCATCCTGGGGACTGCTGACGGTCCCCTGAACATCCTCTAGAGCGAACCCTGAGCCCTGAGCCAGGAGTGACCCTTCAGCACCAACCAGGTGCTTCCCATCCCCACAATCCCTCAAAAAAGATTATCTGTCCTTCACATGATCTCAATCTGTTTCTTATTTTGTTCCCCCACCCCCACCCCCGGGTGGCTGGGTGGTGCTGTGCTCAGTTCCCATGGCTCATTCCCAAGCTTCATCCAGGGACCGTGAGGTGCATGTATCAAACCCGGAGTCTCATGTGTATGTGCTCCAGTTCACTGAGCTGGAACCCTGGCCTGACCCTTTATGTATCGTCTATCTTCTCATTTCCATTATGCTTATGGTATGCTTTTTCAGATAACTGACAAAAATCAATCATATATTTTAATGAGGGGTACCAATAGCCATGCCTTGAGTATAACATGAGTTCTTATTTATAATTATACTGGAGCGATAGCACAGCAGGTAGAGCATTTGCCTTGCAAGTGGCCAACATGGCCAACCCGGGTTCGATTCCTCCCCCCCTCTCGGAGAGCCTGGCAAGCTACCGAGAGTATCTCACCCGCACGGCAAAGCCTGGCAAGCTACCCGTGATGTATTCGATATGTCAAACACAGGAACAATTGTCACAATGGAGACGTTATAGGGGCCTGCTTGAGGAAATCAATGAACAACGGGTGGACAGTGACTGATCATCATAATAAATCACAAAATTAGTAATAAGGATAATTTGAAAAAAGTTTTTTTTTCCTGGTAATGCCAGGAATTGAATCCAAGGTCTCACACAGGTGAGATACACGCTCTACCGTTGAACTATATCCCCTGTCCCCAAAATTGAATGGTTTGCAAATATTCCACTTAAATGTAGTACTCAGCTGTGGCTGTGGTTCCTGTTTGGTAGACATGGTAGAGTTTATTGGCTCCTAGGAGACAAAGAGCATCTATTCTCAGTTGATTACTTTTTTTAATTAGAATTTACTATTTAATGTGAAAGAAGGACCAGATTAATGAGACGTACTTATGACCTATAGGCCAAGAGAGCAAGAGTCTTTCCTTTCTTGGAGATGTAGCAGAGCCGGGGTCACACAGTAAGGTGTAGAGCAAACCCCCTCCCTTGGAATGCATTCCACTTTGGGGATCTGTTCCATTGTGAGTGTTTCTCCCTAGGTCTGGAGGGGGTCTGTGGTTCTGCATTTCCTACAGGCTTCTAGGTAATATTGATAGAAGGATATAGAAGGTGTCTCTTGAGCTACCTGCCCTACAGACAGAGGGACAATGCCTGCTCTCATCTGAGGCACCTCGGTGAAATCAGCCTGGCACAGGGTCCAGGGACATCTCTCTATTCCTTATATTTTAGAGTAATATTTTAGCGAGTGACCGAAGCCACTTCATCTCGAAGTCACTTAAATCTTCCTAGTGATTTGGACTTATAATCAGAGAGAGCCCAGCCCCACACCTGCTCTGTGTGAGAAGCAAGGACCAGGGCCCAAGAGTGGCCCTGTGTCCCCATGCCAACATCCCATCTGCCCCTTGTATATGAAAAGGGATTTACAAATCCACAACATTGTGACTTTTAAGGATATGTTACTAACTCTGATGATGGAGAGAAGTTCCATAAAATGTGTCAGTCACACACCATGAGGGTTCTCTCTTGCTACACCCGAAACTTACAAGGACACAGAGCTCACACACCAGCTGGGGAAGCCACACATTGCAGTTGAGTTTAGCGTGTACAATAAGAAGGGTTATAGAAGCTACTAGAAGAGGTGCTGGAACTACCTAACGTGGAGGACCAGGTTCAGGAAGTTTTCTAGAAATGGATTTTCAAAAGGTGAGTGGGGGCACGGGGCCATATTACAGGGGATAGGGTGTTTGCCTTGCACACAGTCAACCTGGGTTCAATCCCTGACACCTCATATGGTCCCTTGAGCATGCCAGGAGTAATCTCTGAGCACAGAGTCAGGTATAACTTCTGAGCATCACTGGGTGTGGCCCCAAAACAAACAAACAAAAAGCTGAATATTCCTGTGTGGAGAGGCCTGGGGAAATATTCCAAGCAGAGAATTTGCTGAACAAAGAAAAGATGGTTTGAAACCATGTCAGAAGAACCATTACCAGTTTAAATGGAAAGTGATGTGGGTGGTGAAGGCGGTTACAAGAAAGGGTCTGGAGTACATGCTATGCTTGGTCACTGTCAGCTCATGTGTCTGTAAACAGTAACAAGAAAACAATAATAAAAAACGTGAATCTCTGCTGCTTCCCCAAATTCTTGGCTGACTGGCTGGTTTCCACCGATGCCACACCCCTTTATTTTCTCTGAAACAGAAATTTTGCTTTAGGATTAAAATGAATGTTTTAAAAAACAAATCTGATCTACTTTAGATACCAAAATCTGTTTGAATAACACAAAGGTGGTGACATTCATTGACAAAGCCAGGAAGTTCCAAAGCTGGTTGCTGACAATGAATTGAGTTGTACTTTTGTTGGCCTGACTCGGCAGGGGGTGGGGGCCTGGCTTGACCCTCTAGGTCTGTGTGTGCGAAGGACACATTCCTCAGACCATGAGACTCTTCTTTGGGGGGAGATATGTATTTTCACCAAAAATAAAAAAATGCTTCTGAAAACAAGAACAACAGTTGGTACTAATGATTACTACTTAGGTCTCTGGTATGGCAACTTCCAAGCATAACTTGAAGTCTTTATTGTGAGTAGAGTTTTTAGCCACTAAAGGTTTAAAAAGTGATGTTCTGGGGGCTGCAGTGATAGCACAGTGGGTGGGGCATTTGCCTTGCATGCAGCCGATCTGGATTCAATTCCCAGCATCCCATGTGGTCCCTTGAGCACCACAGGGGTAATTCCTGAGTGCAGAGCCAGGAGTGACCCCTGTGCATCGCCAAGTGTGACCCAAAAAGGAAAAAAAAATTATGTTCTTACTGACTTCTATCTCTAGAATTTTTTTCATGATCCCAAGTGAAACTCAGTACCCATTAAACGCTAACTCCTCCATTTTTCTCTCTTCTCTTTTTTTCTCTAGTAATCTCTATACTTTCTTTCTTTGTGAGTTTGACTATTCCAGGTACCTCATATAAGGAGAATTGTACACTCTTTGTCCCTTTGTATCTGACTTCTTTGTTGTTGGGTTGTCTTTTATGCTGGGGGAGAAGGGACTCCAAAATGGTGCTCAGAGGGTCAGGTTCTCTCCCAGCAATGCTTGGCTAGCCAAGGTAGTTCAGTGCTAGGACCCAAGGATGTGGAGATGCTGAGGTCCAGCGGTGCTGGGGACCATCAGGGTCACCCTTGGTGATGCTCAGGGCTCTCTAAGGCTGCATCCAGCAATGCTCAGAGGCCATGTGGAGCCAGGGATCAAGCCCAGATCAGAGCACCCTAATTCCTGGAGTAGCCCTCCACTCCAACTCTGGCTTATTTCACTTAGCATAAAGTCATCAAGGTACATCCATGCTACATGCATGTAGCAGAATGTCCTTCATCTTTACATCTTAATACTCATTTTTTTCTATGGCACATTTTGCATATCCATCATCTGTCAATTACTTGTTTGTACATTTAGAATTTGACTCTTGTGAATATAGGTTTGCAAATATCTCCTTGAGCCTCTGCTTCCAGTGGATTTTTTTTTCACATCAATGATCTGGAACTCTGATAGCTTCTGGCTGAGAGAAGCCAGCTTGTGGGTCAGGGCCTGGTTCTACTCTTCATTGTCGTGAAGTTATCAGAGCAAATGAACTTGTGAGTCACCGTTTCCTCCCTATAAGCTTGGGTGGGGGATGATGTAGGGATTGGGTCATACCAAGTGGCACTCAGGGCTTACTCCTGGCTCTGTGCTCACGGATCACTCCTGGTGGTGCTCAGGGAGCGTTCTGAGGTGCCAGGGAAGAACCCAGGTTAGCTGCATACAAGGCAAGTGCCCTGCCTGCTGTACTCTCTCTCTCTGGACCCACTGACTTTGTTTCGAGATGGTAAATGAATGGTGATCAGTGAATGAAGATGAGCCTCACTACACAAACTCTTTCCTTCTGGGTATCTGCTTGCTGCCGTGTTCCCAGATTGAGGCCTTATGAGGCCTCCCACACCATATGTCGAGTCCCCTAGCATGACACTGCGGTGGACATCTCTGAGGGTCCCCAGTCCAAGTGACCCAGCCCAGGACAGCCTGCTTCTCTTACCCTCTGGCCAGTCCCTGGGCTGGCAGTAGTAGGGAATTCCTGGCGGGATCTGTTTTGCATTTCTGATTGTGGAAACAATAACCTTTTCCTGAGCAGACATTCCTCATGCTCACCCAGAGGGTCTCTGGTTCACACACTCTGTGCCAGCTGGTGAGAGGCTGGGGTGGGAGTCTCCCTGGGGGGCACTCCAGCGTGGGGACATAGGCAGGGAGACAACACTTCCCTTTCCTTTGACCGCTAGAGGTGTTCAAGTAAACTAACGAATCCAGATTTAATTGCTCCCTTCCCCAGGAAGCACCTGATTGCTTAGAATGTGTGGCATGAGGTGGAATGAGGTATAGAGCTGATGCTACCAGCAAAGTGGGGCTGCAGGCTATGTCTTCATCTTGGAGAATCTGAGGACTAGGAATGGAGCACCCCAACTTTGAAGATGAACTCTGAACTCTGTACCACTGAGGCAAGGTGGAAATGAGTGTTCTTCCCCGAAGAGGGTAGCGGGAGCTGGCGGAAGGCCTCCCCTGAAGAGCCTCACCTCCAGGACAGATGTGAATGTTTCCACATGAAGTGCCTGACTCAGAGGGAGGCAGCGCCAAGAGCCTGGAAGGGGAAGTGAGGCGGGGGAAGGGCACGTGGGGGAGAGAAATGGCTCATGTTGGGGACCCCGACTGAGCGTCTCAAAATGACTTGGGCGAAGTCCTGCTGTTCAGTTGACCTTTTGTGTTGAAATGATTTCTGCAGGTAATCACAGCAGCTGTATCAATATTGCTGTTTGATGTAATCCTGACCAGCGCCACTGTGGGGTGGTAAGTCTTCTGCAAAAAGAGATGAAATGCAAATTTGTTTGACTTTTTCCCCATATTTATCTTTTCTCTCAGATGTCAGAATGGGATGTTGTGTCGATAGTTTATTGATGTTTAAATATATAGTCTCAGAAGATTGTATTTTTCATGAGTATACAATTGGGTGATTTTTCACATGCTAAACTGATACCAGACCCGTGCCCGCTCCAGACACAGCATCACCAATTTACCAGTCTGCCACACAGCCACACAAAAGCAACCCTACTGGGGAACCACTGTTTTAAAAGTGTGTATGTTGGTAAAGTAACAAAATAGGAGACCTGGACGATTCTCAAAAAATTAGAAATTGAGCTCCCATTTGACCCAGCAATACCACTCCTGGGAATATATCCCAGAGAGGCAAAAATGTATAGTCGAAGTCACATCTGGACTTGTTTGTTCATGGCAGCACTCTTTACAATAGCCAGAAACTGGAAGAAACCTGAATGCCCGAGAACAGATGACTGGTTAAAGAAACTTTGGTACATCTACACAATGGAGTACTGTGTAGCTCTTAGAAAAGATGAAGTCATGAAATTTACATACAAGTGGCACAACATGGAAAGTATCATGTTAAGCGAAATGAGTCAGAAAGAGCGGGATAGACACAGAAAGATTGCATTCATCTGGGGAAACATAAAGAAACAAAATATGAGATTAATACCCAAGAATAGCTGAGATCAACACCAGGAGGATTACTCCATAGCTTAGAGGCCAGCCGGGCATTCTAGGGGAAAGGGCAGCTCAGATAGAGAAGGGAGCACCAAATAAAGGGTGTTTGGAGGATCCTCCCAGGAGGGGAGATGCATGTTGAAAGTAGACTATGGACTGAACATGTTTGCCACTCAAAGCCTCTTTTGTAGACCACAACACCCAAAAGGAGAGAGAGAACACAGGAGATTGCCCTGCCACAGAGGCAGGGTGAGATGGGAGGGATGGGGGTGGGAGGGATATTATCTATGGTGGTGGAAAATGGGCACTGGTGGAGGGATGGGTATTTGATCATTGTATAATCGAAACCCAAGCACAAAAAATTGTAAATCTACAACTGTACCTCATGGTGTTTCACTAAAAATAATAATAATTAAAAAAATAGGAGACTAACACCCAAGAGTGGCCGAGATTAGTACCAGGAGTTTTGCTCCATGGCTTGGAGGCCAGCCACACATGCTAGGGGATAAGGGAGCTCAGATAGAGAAAGGAGCACCAAATTAAGGGTGTTGGGAGAATTCTCCCAGGATGGGAGAAGCATGCTGAAAATAGACTATAGACCGAACATGATTGCCACTCAATGCCTCTTTTGCAAACCACAGCACCCAAAAGGAGAGAGAGAACAAAAGGGAATGCCCTGCCACAGAGGCAGAGTAGGATGGGGGGTGTGGGGGGGGTGGGAGGGATACTGGGGTCAGTGGGGTTGGAGAATGGACACTGGTGGAGGGATGGGTATTTGATCATTGTATAATTGAAACCCAAGCACAAAAATGTGTAAGTCTACAACTGTACCTCATGATGTCTCACTAATAACAATTTTTAAAAAATTAAAATTAAAAAATTTTTTAAAAAGTGTGTATATTGGGCCTGAAGAATAGTACAGAGGGTAGAGCACTTGCCTTTCACAAGGCCAACCTGACACCACATAAAGTCCCCTGTGCTTTGCAAGGAGAGATCCCTAAGCACAGAGCCAGGCATAAGCCCTGAGCACTGCTGGGTGTGGCCCCAAAACAAAACAAAATTACAATGTGTTTGTTACAATATACATTGCAACCTATAGGATATAGAACCAGATATAACACATATAACGATACAGGCCCTAGAATAATACAGGCCCTATAACCTGTCAGGTATCTCCTTAGAACTGAGTTGGGGGATAACAAGGATTCACCTGCAGTGTAGATATCATCTCAGCCAAACGGCTTATAGGGAGATGTAAGAGGAATTGGCTCGAATGTTCCTCCTTCCCCCATGGTCATGTCTATAAAGCACACCTACCAGGACATCCAACAAAGGAGGGGCATTACGAGGATCAGACAGTTCTGTCTGGAACTGATGGGAGTGAACTAAGAATGTGCAGTGGTTATTTTTGGAAAAAAGATCTTTTCATTGATTTTCAGTGTTATTCTGAGCTTAGGGATCACCCCTTGCAAGGCTCAGGGGACCATGTATGTTTGGTACCAGGGACCGAACCCAGATCAGCTATATGAAAGGCAAGTGCCTTACCCTCTGTACTATCGCTCAGACCCAATATACACATTTTAAAAATAGGTGTATTTTAAACTTAAAAATTTAAAAATTTCCCCAGCAGGGGTTGCTGGCAGATTGTATATTGATGGTGTTCTGTTTCTGGAGCGGGGTACTGGCCTGATACCAGTTCAGCTGATATTGATATGCGTGAACTAATAAAAGCTATAATTCTGTCAGTTCACTGGGGGTAGGGGGTGGTAAGGGGGAGTCCTCAGAGATCGGGGCCACTCCCAATGGCACACTTGACCAATCTAGCCAGACAGTTCAATGCTGGTGCCTGGTAGTGGGGCCCTGCTTGTGCTGCTGGGGCTGGGGATCACCAGGGCCACCCTCTCCAGAGCTCAGGGGGACATGTCATGCCAGGGGTAGTGCAGAGATCCATACTCCTGCAGGGCATTGCGCTTGACCTCTGAGCGACCTCCATTATCTTTGGCTGAAAATCTTTACTGAGTAGCTATAGTATGCAGAGTATGTGGAAACCATTACAAAATCTAAAACATGGACTGGAGCAAGAGAATAGTGGGTAGGGCACTTGCCTTGCATGCAGCTGACCTGGGTTCGATCCCCGGCATCCGATATGGTCCCTCAAACTCCATCAGGGGTGAGCCCTGAGAGCAGAGCCAGGAGCAAGTCCTGAGCAGGCTGGGTGTGTGACTCCCAACAACACAAAACAAACAACAACAATAATAACAAAAAGAAATCTGAAACCTGAGGGCCAGGGCAAGAAATCAGAGGGCTGAGCTATTGCTTTGCATGCAGGAGGCTGGGCTTGGATTCATTCCCTGGCACCAGGCATGGTCTCACAAGCATCACTTGAAGTGACCAGCAAGCTCAGCAGGGTAGCAGCCCCTACATGCCTCTGGGTGTGGCCCCAAAACAATACAAAACAAAGTGTGGAACATTGTCTGACATTCAAGCAGTTCTGGGGCCAGGAGAAATGAAAAAGGCGACATAAGGGCTGAGACATTCACTGGTTTCCCTGCGAATGAGAAGACAGAGGAGAAAGAAGAAAAGATGGCCGGGGTCCATCAAGCTGACTCAAGACTGAGTCTCATACAGAAGGGAGAGACTTAGCCGGGTCGAGAGTGAAAGAGGATTTGGCCCCTCTTCCCCCAAGAAGAGAGAGCAGGGTAGAGGCGTAGAAGGTGCCAATGGTCAGGCTTAACCCTTGGTGACCAGAGCTGGGGCAGAGCCTGTGGGCCCTCCGACATCTGCACCTTTCTTTCTGGGAAGGGAGAACACATTGTGAGCCAATGGACACCCCCAAATCCCAGCTGCCAGGGGAAGAAGCATCTATGTCCCAGTACCTTTTTTTTTTTTTTTTTTTTTTTGCTTTTTGGGTCACACCTGGCGATGAACAGGGGTTACTCCTGGCTCTGCACTCAGGAGTTACTCCTGGCGGTGCTCAGGGGACCATATGGGATGCTGGGAATCGAACCCGGGTTGGCCGCGTGCAAGGCAAACGCCCTACCCGCAGTGCTATCACTCCAGCCCCGCCAGTACCTTTTTGAGCTCTTTCCCAGCATTCTGTCAACTGACCTATTTATTACTTATACTTTTGTGTGTGTAGGGCTAGAGCGATAGCACAGCGGGTAGGGCATTTGCCTTGCACGTGGCCAACCCGGGTTCAATTCCTCTGCCCCTCTTGAAGAGCCTGGCAAGGTACCGAGAGTATCCTGCCCCACACAGCAGAGCCTGGCAAGCTCCCCGTGAAGTATTCGATATTCCAGAAACAATAACAAAAAGTCTCACAATGGAGACATTACTGTGCCCACTCCAGCAAATCAATAAACAATGGGAGGACAGTATTACAGTGCTACTTTGTGTGTATGCCAGGGTTGGGACCCAGGGCCACATGAATAGAGCTACGTCTGTGGCCTCCCTGCCCCAGTTTTAGGAACCTTCATGCTGGTGAGACACATTTTTGAGGGTATTTTTCTTTCTGACAAATAAGCCTTCGCTGACTCAAATTTTTTTTGCAAGATTTCAGAGTGAACCCATAAAACAAAAGCCCCAGTGTCACTCCAAGTGGGCTAAGTAGATGAGGCGCCCCTCCTGGTAGCGGGGGAGGGCTCTGAGCCCGGCTCCGACCGAGTCTGCCCAAGGCCCTGTCTGCGGGCTGGGTCACGGCCTGTGAACTCCGTGGTATGCCCTGAACCAAGCGGGAAGAGGCAGTGTGTACTCCAATCAAGGAAACGGCCTGTGTGATTACTGCAAAGGGAACCGTGGCTTTGGAATTTCCTGATGCTGGAGAGCCCTTGACTCGGAGGATGGCGTGTTTCCAACCTCGAAGAATTTTCCAACCACAAAATGAGGCGGCAGAGAAGGCGTGTCAGGCGGTCCTGCAGATTTTTATATCCATACAGAGCGGGTCTGCCTGTCCTGATCTTGGGGAGGGTGAGAGACCGACAGTGGCCAGGCGTGGACCGACTGTGAGTGCCCTTCGTCCAATCAGAAGTCACAAAGCACAGGCCAGTTCTGTTTGAACAACCCTGTGCGTCTGTTTTGTGGCATTTGCTCCTCTGATTTTTGTGTTTGTTTGGGGGGGGGGGGGGCACACAGTGAGACTCTAGGACCATTCCTGGCTTTATGCCCAGGCAGTGCTACCGAGGATTCGAAGTGGGGCTCAGCCACATGCAAGGCAAGTGCCTTCACCACTGCATTCTCTCTGGGTCTGCTTTGCGGATGCTCAGTTCTTATGGACATTTAGAAGCTGGGTGCTT